CACACACCCAGATAGTATCTGATCCCTCAATCAAGTTCGGTTGTTGAAAGATAACTCTGTAAATAGACTATATACTGACATTGCCATTGATACAACAACCATTTATAGCATTCATCAAGTTAACCACACTTCCAGTCTTGTTCTTCAAAATATTTCTTACTCTTATAAGTTGCCTCCACGTCCATGAGTCATTGAATAAGGGTGTTGATAGAAAGAACATCGAGAAAAAGAAAAGAGTACTCTTGTTATTTTCCTAATCTTCTTTAAATTAAGTCAGTAAAGATCTCCTCTCGTGAGGATTTGTCATTTAGCTCGTCATATGCTTTCCCATGTAAATCCCAACAGTTGGTATCAGAGCAATGTCTTGAGTGTGAAGGTAGACACGACACCTGTCACGGAAAAACGATAAAGATGAAGCGGTATCTCGGTCGACCGGTGCAGGTCAATATACATGTATGAACGTAGATCCGCCATGCATCCACAAGGTGATGGTTAGAGAAGCAAATACATGGTGATTGGACCCCCAACCATTTTAAATAAAAGAATTGCATACGAAAACAGAATCTCTACGTCTCTCTCTAAAAACCCCCCAACCCTGATTGCACCTGTTTGGGTGAAATTTTCTTTTCTGCTAACTTCCTTTTTCTTTTCTAACTTCCTTTTATACATATTACCCAGTGTTGGTTGTTGGTGTGAGGGTTCAATTTGTTTAGGTTTTTAGCACTGTTTTGCTTATTCAAGTCTTCAAGTGATCTTTTCTCCTCCATCTATTCTCCCCTTTATTCTACTCCTAACTTTCCCCTCTCACTCTCTCTCTCTCTCTCTCTCTCTCTCTCTCTTCCGTCCGCCCATTTGTTTTGTTGTAATAAATTTCTCACTCCCGAATATTTTTGGACTCCTCCATTTTACAAGTATATAGCTTGAGATCATCATCCTCATCACTTGCACAAAGTCCTCTCCACAACAACCACTCAACCTCCAAACATGGGGGATCCCTACACCAATTTCTTCAAGGATCTCCTCAATTACTACCCTAATATTAATAATCTCCCCTCCAACCCCCTTCCTCCTCTTCCCACCCCCTCCCACAAATTCAACCACAACTACAACAATATTCCCCATAACTTCCAAACCCCACCCCCCTCCTCCCCTCCCCTAAGAGAGGCCCTCCCTCTTCTTACCTTGAGCCCCTCAAGGCATGACCAAGACAACCGCCGATGACCGCCACCACCACCGCCATGAAGACAGCTCATCGAAGACCTCTGATCAAAACGATGACGGTGATGTGGGTGCAGGAGCAGTGACAGTCGCCCTCCACATAGGCCTCCCAAACCCTGGCTCGTCGACCGACCCCGCTCATCAGTCAGGGTCCCCTCAGGGCAAGCGGAGGAGGAGGAGGAGGAAGCAGCCGGAGGTGATCAAGGAGACAAAGAGGAGGACGGAGCTGCAGTTTCTTTAGGGTACCCCACGAGTGCCATAGGAAAGCTCAACAAGGGGCAGTATTGGATCCCTACTCCTTCTCAGATCCTCATTGGTCCTACCCAGTTCTCTTGTCATGTGTGCTTCAAGACCTTCAACAGATACAACAACATGCAGGTCATTTCTAATTTTGATTAATATATATTATGGGGTCTAATTAATTGTTTCCTCTTCAGTTGGACTAATTAATTGTTTATGCATGCCTTACTTTCTTCCTTTTTAATTTGCATGTTAAACTAATTAAATGAGTCTCTAAAGGGTTTCTTTCCAATAAATAATAAATAAATAAGTTAGGGGGGGGGGTATAGCTAGCTAGCTAGGTCATGCAGTTTCATGACAATAATTAATTGATTAGTTAGTTAGTTATATATACGCTAATTGTTTAGTCGTCTAAGTTGATAGTTTTGTTACTTTTTGCATGGTAAATGAGTCAAAACTCAAAGGGTCGCTTTTCCAATAAATAAGTGAGTTCAGATACATATATATGGATAGGGGTGATGAGATTTAATCAGGAGTAGCTCTTCTTTTTATGTGATTGAAATGGACATGGGCAATGTTCTTTATGGCTAGCTAGCTACTTTTTAAAACTATATATATGAGGGGTTTGGGGGGATTTATTGTGAGAAATATTTGCTACCGAAAAGTATTTATCAGTTCTTGACATCTTTCTGGGGTAGCGCAGAGATGGTCTTTAAAGAAAGAGGAGGAGGGGGAGGAGGAGGAGAAGAAGAAGAAGAAAACTAAAATTGATTTTCTGCACTCACTGAAAAATTGCACTTCTGACGCAGAAACCACCGACTCCACATGAAGGCTTACATGTGGGTTGTTTCTCCCAAGAAACTCACTATGGGATCTCTCTCTCTCTCTCTCTCTCTCTCTCTCTCTCTCTCTCTCTCTCTCTCTCTCTGTAGTAAAAATCCAAGTTATATATATACCTTTTAACAATGAACATTTCTCTCTCGCAACTTCAAATACATATATACACTTATTTCAAAATTCCTCTTCCTGTTTCTAGTTGGCTTTTTGATATTCTTGTGCATGCCATCTCCAGACTAATGTTAGATGTGAATATATACTATGCTAACATGCAACCTCAGTAATTACTTTCTAGTTATATAATTTTCCCTCCTCTTTACTTGAATGTATGATATATCTTTAGTAAGATATTCTTGCTAACCCTAATATGCCTAATATTCAAAGCAAAAACAACTCATAAACCTTAATTTCTTTAAATACTTTAAACTTCCTTTTTAAGAACCATATAAGTAGATTATGTAATGTCATCACAATCACTTGATATTTTCTTGTCAATATGACTATGTGTAGAAATTAAATCTCATGCTCTTATAAAGAGATATATAATCTTTACGAAATTCCAAATCCTTTCATGTTTAATTAACGTTTTATATCCGTCTGTAGTTTATATCCTGACTTTTGTTAGATTGCAAAATTTACTCTCTTGTATGTGAAGTTATTTCATTAAAACTTCAATAATAAAAGACTGAGGTCAATATCATCACTTATAATTCTCAAAACAATAAAGCCAATTTTCTAAAACCATTGTCCATTAATACCAATGTGATATTGGATGTGTCTAAATATTAATTTCCTTGTGTGCTTGTATATAGATATCAAGTCATTTACAAATTCCAAATCCTTTCATGGTCCTATACACATCTGTAGTTTGCATCCAGATCCTTTTGTTTGACTAGAGGACTTTTTTTCTGGAGAAGAAAGAAAATCATATACGCATAATATTGGATTGTTATTATGTCCATTATATTCTTGACCGATGCATTGCTGATGTGACATACATCAACACCACTATAATTTATAGTTAATATAATCATAACTCCTCCCCTGGATGTGTTTTAGCAACACATTAATCAAAACGGTCCTCGTTTACTCGACACACACACACATGAAACATCTTTGTTATGCCCTTAATTAAATACGTACCTTTGTATATATAATATTGTCTAATTAGTGTTAATTTTCTCCAACATGTTATGAGACAGATGCATATGTGGGGGCATGGATCACAGTACAGAAAGGGCCCAGAGTCCCTCCGAGGCATCCAGCCAACAGCGATGCTTCGACTTCCGTGCTACTGCTGTGCCCCGGGGTGCAGGAACAACATAGACCATCCAAGATCGAAGCCGTTGAAGGACTTCAGGACTCTCCAAACTCACTACAAGAGGAAGCATGGGATAAAACCCTTCATGTGTAGGAAATGTGGGAAGGCGTTTGCGGTGAGGGGAGACTGGAGGACTCATGAGAAGAACTGCGGGAAGCGTTGGTATTGCATTTGCGGGTCTGATTTCAAGCATAAGAGGAGCTTGAAGGATCATGTTAAGGCTTTTGGGCACGGGCATGCCGTGCATGAGACTGATTGCTTGGAGGAGGAGGAGGAGGATCCGTCATCGGAGATTGAGCAAGATTGCGAAGCATCTCAGTGATGAAAAGGTGAATTGGTGAATTTAATTAACTCTTTTTTTTCTTTTTATTTTTTTGTATTTGGTTGTTAAGAAGTTAGCTAGAGTGGGGAAATACATCAATTAATGTAGGCATTATCTCTCGTATATGACCTTCACCTTTTGTTAATGTCATGGGTGAGGTCGGAGTACATAGAAGAATAATGGTGTGAGCCAGTGAAGAGAACTTGGTTGCTAGAACTTAAACGTTGTCTAAAACTTTCTATTTGGAATTTAAGCTCTGCATGCATTTGAACATGCAAGTTGGTTGTTGAGAAATCTCTCTCTCTCTCTCTCTCTCTCTCTCTCTCTCTCTCTCTCTCTCTCTCATATATATATATATATATAAAACAACCCACATGTAAGCCTTCATGTGGAGTTGGCAAAAAATAAAACTTGAGAGTCAAAAACTATAACCCTCAATTATTATCACAACTTAAGAGCTTTGGTGTAGCAACATGGTTCTTTAAGATGGTATTAAAGCAACCTAGGTTTCAACCCATAAAAAGAATGCTAAATCTTTCAAAGACATTGTTAGAATATAAAAGTATAACCCTAGACCTTCATGATAACTTCAGAGTTTTGGTGCAATTAATGAAAGGGTTCTCTAGGAACAACATTAAGAAAAGCTTGTGTTTGGTATATATGTATTATTTTTGTATATCTACTACTTTTTTCTTTACAAGAAAGTAAATTAATGACATTTTTTACACCTTATAATATGCAGTATGACTATTTCTGTAGTAGATTTTATTTGTGAGAATCATAACTGACAGATATTAAATGGGCCAAATCTTGAGAAATAATTGCACATAATTCCAATTGGTGATTGAAAAGCTTTGCTCATTGACCAAAAAAAATATTAAGTTTTCTAAGAAATTCCACTAATTAATATTTGTTTGAAAAAAAATTCGCGCTCTAAGAATTGTTATACATAGTTTTTTTAAAGGAAATTTGCCATCATCCTTTTGTTTTATGTTTTATTTTTTTGTTTGATGAAAACTTATAATATTCCATTAACCAATATTGAACGTTTTGACATCATCAGTATCAGATACATCCTTTTATCTTTTTTTTTGGTCAATGAAAATTTCATTCATCTTCCAAATATGAAAATTTCAGTACATCACTGCTCAGTTAGAAAACTGAGAATACACTAATAGCTAACAACTTACAACCTCAAGTAGTTACAAAGTACAGATCCATTCCTTATCACCTGTCGAGAAAGATCCATTGAGTATATAGTAGTTAGAATGATGAGTTTGATCTCCTTGAACAATTTGTCACCAGACTTCACTTCTTGCTTGAAGATTCTAGTGTTCCTTTCACACCAGATGCTATAGACTGTTGCAGTGAGAGCTATTTTTTTAACTTTTTGTTTAAAACCATTCCCCCTCAATCTTAAACAGAACCAGTTCATAATCAGATCCCAATTACAGGACCTCCAACTGAATTGTAACCAGTCCATGATCAGAATCCAAACTTCCCTTGAAAATTGACAATCGAAGAAGAGATGATTCCTGCTCTCATTGCCAGTGCACCAGCATCAGTTGTTTTCATTCACAATACTCCTTTTGATCAGTCTGTCTTGTGTGAGCAAGCGATCATGAGCTGCTAGCCAACTAACGAAAGAATGTCTGGGCAAGCATGATGTCTCCCACACAGATTTATACCATGGCACTTCAGGGGCAGCAGGGGATAGGGCAGAGTATAGAACAGAAAGTTTGATTTTAGAATCTCTGGTACATCTTTGAATTATTTGTATCAAGTTGTCAGCACCTCCATAGAGTCTCAGAGCTTTGTCTCTGACTTTCAGTATATTTTTTCACATCCACGAATCCATGTTCCTAGTTTGAACATTCCAAATGTCATTGTGCTTTAGATATGTGCCATGAATCCACTTGATCCAAAGATTTTCTTTGTTTGTATGAATGAGCCACAGAATTCTAAGAATAGAAGCCATATTCCATATAGGAGCAGAATAGATGCCAAGACCTCCTTGTTTCTTGCTTAAACAGACTTTGTCCCATGAAATAGGATACATTTTTCGAACCTGGTCTGTTTTCCCCCACAGGAAAGATCTACACATTCCATCGATTTCCTGCAAGACCTTGATAGGCAGAACATAGTTTGATGTCCAATAAATTTGAATGCCTAGAATAATGCTTTTAATTATCTGTAATCTGCCTGTATAGGATATCATTCTATTTTTCAAACAAGCTTGGAATTGATTTGATATTCTGTTTAACAGAGGAGAACAGTCATCCTTTTATTTTTTCATTAACCAAAAAGGAAAAGAAAAGAAAAGAAAACTGCAATCATCTTTTTAGGTTCAAAATTTCTATCAGTACTTAGAACAATGCTATATATGTTGTCAAAAAGGGAGAAAAAAGCATAAATCTGAAAATAAATGAGTTAGAACATCAGGCCTGAATGAGTGCAGTCGTGATTCACTGCCCTAGAATATAGATGACCCGCCTATCGCCCTGGCGTAGTCGATCTTCTCCCCCTAGCGGTAAAAGCCCCCAGAAACGACCGGCCTTTGTACTCGGACGAGAGTAGCAGAGCTTCTGCTCAGACGAAGATGGTTGCCCGAAAATTATAAGTAAATAGTAGCAGAGTAATTTTGAGAGAATGAAAGAGGCTCTC